TTTCTATTTTTTGACCACCCTGTACATGCTATTTCAAGTTTTAGTAGTTAAATATTATTTTTTTAAGAAGCAGAAACTTTTATAGAGTTCTAGATGAGCTAGAAACATAAAATTTGGCACAATTATAGAGGTTTGTAATCTCATTGAAGAAAAATAATCACATAGTGTAAATTTCATCTCTGAACCCCCTTAGAGAGCGTTGAAATGCTAATTTTCCGTTTTTTTTTTTCCAGTTTTATACTATAAAACCCCACTTTAATGGTAGTGTTTGTTTGGTTAGTCTGAGCAAGCATTGACTAAGAATAGACGCGTGCAAATCCGCGAGCAACAGCTATAGTAATATAAAGCTGGATTAGTGGGTTAGGCTAAACTGAAAACAATATGATTTTGTGATTTGATAATAGATAAACTTCAAATTAAACGTAATAGCTTTGTTCCAACCCAGCAGGAAACCTTACATTTCACCGTCAGGATTCTGCGCAAAACGTAGTGCATAGAATCAGAAATTTGTATACAGAAGATCTGTTTCCACAGAAATCACAAACCAGTCATAGCGAATTTCATTGGTTGAAAATAGTCAGGAAACTGGTTGTTGGCGGTTTGAACTAATCACAAACGCTCTGACTGGTTTGTGATTTCTGTGGAAACAGACCTAATCTGATTCCGAAACCGTTCTTGGGATGTTTTTTTTTTGGCGGTTTGGAACAAACCTAATATAGTGTATATTACAGTTCACAGCTCGGTTTACAGTAAAAGCACGAGTAAAATCGAATTTTCGCGACGAATGTAGTTCATCAATAGTTCATCCAAGGACGAACCATAGTTCGTCTTATTACGTCATGAATTTGAACGCTAGCTTGAAGTTGCGTCTATGCTTCCGGCGAACTAGGTTTAATATGACGTCATGAGTTTCTCGCGAAAGCGTTGGTGTTCCTGAAATCACGGAAGTAGTTCGTCGCGACAATTCGGTTTAAATCTATTCAAATTCAAGAGAATTATAGTGCTTTTTCTTCAAGTGTTTCCAAATATAATTTTTTCAAAGCTCTTAATTCTTTATCAATTTTGTATTTTTCAGCACATCTTGAATATCTTAATTTTTTTTGTCCGGCCAGATGTATAGGTATAATTGTTGTTTTAGAGATTTAATTACAATCTTCTCTTTCACAGGAACTATATGCGTCCCAAAATAACCAATTTTGTTCGTAAAAAACCAGATAAAAATGCTCAAGTTCCAATGAAGCAACTCTGTTCGATGTTGCCTCATCTTGAAATTTGAAATAACGTCCTCCAGCAAGTCACTTTTATTTAAACACCCTGTAGAAATGAAGAAAATAATGGAATAAATAAAAATTATTAGTTGAACTCGGCCTTTTGAAAATATTTTGGTTTCATCAAAATGTCGCTAGAATAATATGTATATTTGTTCTGTAAAATTGCTTTTGACACGATTCCAAGAGATTTTTAGTGATTTTGAGGGATTTTGTGGGATTTTGTTAAATTTTTAAGGATTTTAAAGATTTTTGGGAATTTTGAGTAAATCTTCCGAGATTTTTTGGGTTTTTGGCCAACTTGTATACGGATTTTGACAAGTTAACCGCCCCTCGTTGAAATCTTTTTTAACAGGCAAAAACTGTCTCAGTGTCATTTTTGGAAAATTTTCAATATTCGATAATTTCAATTTTGAAGCTTCTCATGTACGGAACTATTGGAATCAAATTTAAAACTTATTCAACAGGTTTGTAGATAATTTAATTGGCTTTGATTAGAGCTTAATTACATTGAAATCGGATGAAAATTAACGGAGCTGTAAGGCAAAAACTGTCTCAATGTCATTTTTTCAAAATTTCCAATGTTCGATAATTTCAATTTTGAAGTTTCTTAGGTGCAAAACTGTTGAAACCAAATTCAAATCCTAATTCAAAGATTTGTAGATAATTTAATTGGCTTCAATAAGAGCTAATTACATTGCAATCGGATGGAAATTACCAGAACTGTGAGGCGAAAACTGTCTCAGTGTCATTTTTGGAAAATTTTCAATATTCGATAATTTCAATTTTGAAGCATCTCAGGTGCAAAACTGTTGAAAAAACTTCTCATGTGCGGTACTGTTGGAATCAAATTTTAAACTTATTCAACAGGCTTGTAGAGAATTTAATTGGCTTTGATTAGAGCTTAATTACATTAATATCGGATGAAAATTAACGGAGCTGTAAGGCAAAAACTGTCTCAGTGTCATTTTTGGAAAATTTTCAATGTTCGATAATTTCAAGTTTGAAGCATCTCAGGTGCAAAACTGTTGAAAGTTAATACAAATATACAATTTTGTGTAGTTAAGTAAACACAAAACCCTAGAGAAACACAAAAACTATTCACAATAACCCTCAAAACCCCAAAAACCCAATAGAATTTTTCAAAAAAACTGTCGAGGATAGAGATAGAGAGTGTATTTGTAAAATAAAATAAAATCTTGATCGAATAAGCATAAGGAAATCAAAATTCTAAAGAGAATTAATGCACTTGGTAAAAACCTAGAAAAGACAAAGACAAAGAAATTAAAAAACACAAAAAACCAAAATGAGAAAAAGCGAATAAATACATTATACAAACATATTTTGAAATAAAAATAAATTTGAATAAAAAATTTTAAAATAAAAACAAAGAAAAATTACTAACTAAAAATGGAAAAAATGAATATAACATACTAAACAACCTATAATGAAGAAGTGCTATTTAAAAGCAAAAAAAATCGAAAATGCATCAGCAAAAGAACAAGCGACACCGAGAACAACTAGAAAATAAAAAAGCTGTATAAATTGATGAACATAATGAACTAGGCTGAACAAAAAAAAGAGAGGCGAATAGGTATTAATAAAAGCAAAAATAAGTTAAAACACCATTACCAGAAACCGAAGAATTGCTAATAAAAACAATAGGATACAAAAATTGTTAACTAAAGGACGCAAAAAATATATATTAATTCATGCGGAATCAAGTTGAATTTAAATAATAAGAAAATAGATATACTTACGCAATTAAAACATGCCTACTGAGAGTGATTATCAGAAAATGAAGTACCTACTTATACATAAAAATAATGAGAAGAATAAATAGAAAATATTATAAATTAATTCATTTGAAATAAATTTGTGTATCAGCCCAGACTCAGCTATAAAGCTCTAATTCACAGCAAAATTCGCAACAATGCCTTCATATGCCATATTTAAATTAACAATAATTTCGGCATATTACTCATCCCATTATGAAGAGTGTTTTAAAAATTGTTGGAACCGCGACATTTATTATTCTGGGCATTGACGCGGGCTCGAAAAGTTTTGTTTTTATATGTTATATGAATTAGAATTTCCATACAAGTAAAACCAACTATAAATATTTAATAATATGAACAATTGAAACTTACGTCCATCATCTTCAATAGACTCCGAAGGTAGACAATAGAAACACATATCGAATCGAAAAAAGTATTAAATTTCCTTCACGGTAGGTACGGTACGACTTATAACCACAGCTGCCGCACGATGCACCCTGCGGTACTAAAACGGCAAATGCCTCTTTGGTCGCGAAATAGAATATGTAACATATGCAGCATGGTACAAAAAAAGAAACTCTCTTCTTTATGGTACCTAGTGGTGGTTAAAATGCGAAAATTATCCGGGGTCATAGGCGTACCATAGAATATAAGGGAAAATTATCTTCTGCGGTAAATTACTGTTTGTTTGAAACCATCATGTAGGTGCATCTATAATTATTGCTAACTGAAACTTTAATTTAATATCGGCTCGTTTTGGGAACATTTACAACGGAAAAAAGATGTATTCTACACTTGATGCTTGTAAAATGCACTATGATTTTTCCATCTGGAAATAAGTAGTCTCTTTACTGGAAGATCAAGGGAAAATGGCAATTGCAAATATTTCCGTAGCTATTATGTTCAAAGTGATGTTGCTTGACTGACTTTGTAAATGAATAAAATATATACGTGTGAATTTTTTTATTATTTTTAATACATAATCTTTATGGAAAAATATTTAAATTTTTTACTATAATACTAACACAGAGAGTATTATGCAGTATTGTTGATGACTAAACGCTAATAATTTGCTAAATTTGCATAATTTGTTAAAAATTTAGTTAAAGGTAATAATCACTGTTGATATTTTCGTTTGACACTTAAGTGTGACGTACAAGTAGGTACAGTTTTATTATAGATGCAAATTTATTAACGCGATTTCGTCTATTCCAATGGTACTACCGATTTTATGGTGGGTGGATTTCAGCAGTTGAGTAAGTATTTTATTAGAACTGGTTTTAGTTATTTTTCGGGTGTTATAGTTTTTTTTTACTTCAAAGAATTAACCAACTGGGAATTGATGGTAAGTTCGACTGGAAATAATAAAGTAATAATTACTGTGAAGCAAATATAGATAATGCGTGGCAGGTATCATACACCAACTAGAAATTTCATATTTTATGAATACTTATTAAGCACTTTTAATATTTGCTTTCAGAGGCTGAGTGGTACTTTTAATTGCTAGGGATTGAAATTAGAGTATCTTTTAATCCATTTCAGAAATGCAGCTCAGGCTAGAAACTTTCGTTGCGGGATAATTATAAAATATACACTTTTGTCCCTAGGTATAAAATATACTATTTATTGAGGGTAGATATAGAGAAGAGTGTTTCTTCGATAGTTTTGACTCTAGTAGTAAATCAAAATTTGTTAAATTTCATTGAAACTCCTCAGATCTACAATAATACCTACACCCTAACAGAAGGGCGAATAGTTCAACCCCTCAGGATCCAAACTGAGAAAGGAAACTTATTTTTCAATGAAAATAATAATCCAAATCAAACATTCATAAAAGATCCTGGAGCATCCGTTATCTCTCATGCCCCGTCTGAAGTTTTTGCCCAGAGATAATTATATTTATATAATAACGACGTTCCTTTCGGCCGTCCTTTATTTCCCAGCCCTTAACCCTATGGGCTAGAAAAGGATAAATTGATGCTGTGTGTGGAAATCTGGAAATCCATATTCCGAGCTGACGTCATTCATTAGACGATGGGGTTGCGCCGACGCTGGGCGTCGCGACGCAGTTTTCAGGAGCGAAGTCATATAAGAACGATTCGTGTTACAGTTTCAGAATTAACAATAGGTGCAAAAATTTTGAAAATGTATACTTAATTTTGTTGAAACTTATACATAAAAACAATAATTAATTGGTAAAGTTGATTTTTGATAATATTTTTGATTAAGTAGCTATTAAATTATTAAGTGCCTCTTTATATTATTATTTTATCCAAATACATCCCACTATAACATAATAATATGTAATTTTCTCTTCCAGAGTACCTTCCTCAGTTTGGCGTCGACTCCCTGTTTGATACAGTCCTCACCTTTTAAGCTGAGAATTTTTCCAATAAAACAGCTGTTTCTTGGGTCCTCTGCCATTCTTACTCATTGGAAAGAAATCAGTGCAATATGTTTAGGGAAAAGTGTCTAATGCCATTATGTTTAATATTTTGTTTATTTATTGGAGTGTCCAGAAGTTTCGAATTCAAACATCATGACAATCAGGAGCTGTTCCATGTTTTAAGGTAAAATATATTTGATTATTTTATACAATACAATTTACACAATAATATCAGAATGTCTTGAATAATTATTCAAATTAACTGAGTTACCTACAAGGAAGCTACCCTATGATTTAGATTTTGGAAAACTTTGAAAGGGCATAACTTTTTTTCTAAATTTCCACTGAATCTGATCTCAAAAAAGGGACTACAACCCCTGAAAATTTCAGCTGATTTGCACTTATAGTTCCTGAGATAAAATCTTGTTAAGCAATTAGGGGTGGTTTATCAATTTTTCAATTTTTCTGAGTGCCTTTTTTCATAGATTTCGGCTTCAAATCTGAGAATAATGTAGTGTATGGAATTTGAGGGATGTTATGATATATGATTTAGATTTTGGAAAACTTCGGAAGGCCATAACTTTTTTCCTATTATAGATAGAAAGCTGAAATTTTCACTGAATCTTATCTCAATACAGGGACTACAATTCCTAAAAATTTCAGCTCATTTGCACTTATAGTTTCTGAGATAAAATCGTGTTAAGCAATTTGGGGTGATTTATCAATTTTTCAATTTTTCTGAGTGCCTTTTTTCATAGATTTCAGCTTCAAATCTGAGATAATAATTTAGTGTATGGAGTTTGGGGTATGTCGATTGACCATAAGGATACAAAATCTCGACAAAATATTTTTTGAAATTTCATCGTTTTAGTAGGAAGGTACTTATGATTTAGATTTTGGAAAACTTTGAAAGGTCATAACTTTTTTTCTATTATAGATAGAAAGCTGAAACTTTCACTGAATTTTATCCCTGTCGAGGGACTACAATCCCTGAAAATTTCAGCTCATTTGCGCTAATGGTTCCTGAGATAAAATCGTTTTAAGCAATTTGGGGTGATTTATCAATTTTTCAATTTTTCCGAGTGCCTTTTTTCATAGATTTCGGCTTCAAATCTGTGAATAATTTAGTGTATGTAGTTTGGGGTATGTCGATTGACCATAAGGATACAAAATCTCGACAAAATCCTTTTTGAAATTTCATCGTTTTAGTAGGAAGGACCTTATGATTTAGATTTTGGAAAATTTTGAAAGGTCATAACTTTTTTTTATTATAGATAGAGAGCTGAAACTTTCACTGAATTTTATCCCTTTCAAGGGACTACAAACAATTCTTGAAAATTTCAGCTCATTTGTACTTATGGTTCCTGAGATAAAATCGTGTTAAGCAATTTGGGGTGGTTTATCAATTTTTCAATTTTTCTGAGTGCCATTTTTCATAGATTTCGGCTTCAAATCCAAGAATAATTTAGTGTATGAAGTTTGGGGGATGTTATATATTGATATATTTTGAGCTGATTTTCAATTTAAAATAAACAGCAAATCGCTAGCTTGAATCGTTTAAAAGTTATGACTGTTTTAAAACGAGTGAAGACTAAAATCTTGTTTGCTATTAGAAAACTCTCAAGCCTTGTACTTTAAACGATAGAAGCAAATTCCAAACAATTTCTTGAGGTATATTGTATAGTATATGTACATAGTATCCCATACGTTCTTGAAAACCGAATATTCCTGAGGTGCAAAACTATATTTTTTGACTCGAGGAAAAACTTTGTTCAAAAAATGAGATTTTGGTTGCAAAGTGCCTATTTTTTCAACCCTAGATCACTTGCCTCAAATTACCCGCACTGTACGAAAATATCGTAACATAATGCTGTATTTAATATAGATAAACGATCTCTAAAGCAAAAGAACGTTTTAGCAAATATAGTCCTTGACAAACTTGGCAATTTTCCAAGAAAAAACCCCCTAAATCCATTTGCAACCCACTTTGGGGGTTTGGGGCGGTCGGATGGCCCCAATATTCGATTTCGAGCCAATCTTGCTTTGGGGCTTATTTATCACTTTTTCAGTTTCAATAGAATTTTACACCTTTTATAACAGAATGTAATAAAACCATTTACGAATATGATTAATTAAGACTTTATGTTTGCTGTATTAATTATTGTTTTAAGGGATGTCAACACAAAATGCAAGAATATCACAAGAGTTTATGCCCTGAACGAACCCTCAGTACTTGGAGTTCCATTGTACTTGATCGAATTCACCACAAAACCTGGCCGCCATGAAGTGTGTAAGTAGAGATAAATATGTTTTTTTATGGATAAGTTGATTATGCTAATGTATTTATACGCAACCAAAATGAAAATCGATAGATACTTGATTCGATTACGCCCAAAATGCGTCAAATATGTTTAATGAAAAAGCTTTATCATGTTTTTGTCGTTTAATATTTTGGGAGAAAATTATGAATTATCTTTTCGTGTTTTAGTAAAACCAGAATTCAAATACATTGCAAACATGCATGGAAACGAAGTGCTTGGTAGAGAACTGCTTCTGAAATTGGCAGATTACTTATGCGAAGAATACCTCAATGGGAATCCCCAAATCAGAGCTCTGATAGAAACTACTAGGATTCATTTCATGCCCAGCATGAATCCTGATGGTTGGCAATTGGCTACTGATACGGTAGGTAAATTCTCTAAAAAGTTCTATTAAACTATAGCCCAAATTGTTTTTGAGGAATAAAAATGTAACTTTTATAAAGGTTAAAACGTGATTTTACCTAAAATTTCGAGAAACTGTTGGGAATATGGAATATATTATGTGATCACACGATCACAGATTACAGGAAAACATTTTCCAATTTATATAATATTTATTTATATACCAGTAATAAAATCCAACCATGAAAATGTTTACTCCCAAAGTTACAGAAACTTATATGTATTCCTAAACTTTACAAATTGCGTAGGCATACATATTAACAGATCTATTATCGTCTAGCCATATAATTTCTCATTCATTCAGACCATTACCTAATAGTCTAGTAAATATTTTCAAAATGAATTTATGCAGAGAAAGTCAACATTTCCATAGATAGAAAATTAATTGGTCTGGAATATAAGTGGGAGACAAACAAAATTTGAATAAGGTGTTACCTTCTTAGACCTTGAAAACTTAATTGAGGACTAAAATTGGTGAATAACGACACTGCGGATTGGACCCTAGTATAAATCATTTTGGACCTCTTCTAGAGTTTCCTAATCGAATTTTAGGTAATTAGGTTAAGCTGGGGATTCGATGTATTGCGGATAATTTGAGTGTTTTATTGGTTTTACCTATGTCAAGATTTGGTTGAGTTATATGCCTTAAACTTGATAATGTAGAGGAGCTGAAAGTACCTACATGAATTTATTCATTGAAGTAAAAAAATCAAGCTTTATAATTTGGAGAACAACCTGAAAGTCCCAAAATTTTATCGAAAGTTTTTCAGAATCTTTTTGCAAAGCAAACTGTAAAATATTTGTTTTTTGATTATTGAATAGTAAAAATCGAGTTTTCAACAGGGCGGTCAAGACTTTCTTATTGGAAGAACCAACAACAACTCAGTAGATCTAAACAGAAACTTCCCAGATCTGGACAGGATCGTTTTTGATAACGAAGAGCAAAACGTTGATAGAAACAACCACTTACTCGACGAGGTCACTAGACTTATTGATCCGGTAAATCAAAACCCATTCTATTTTTTTTTAAAATAATATAATTATTCTCAATTAAGCTGCAACCGGAAACCCGATCTGTAATTCGCCTGATAATGCAAATTCCATTCGTCCTAAGCGCCAATCTTCACGGTGGAGATTTAGTGGCAAACTACCCGTATGATGAAAGCAGATCAGGAAGTCAAAAAGACGAGTATACAGCTACACCTGATGATAATACATTCAGGTACTTCATCTTGGACGTCAAATGATAACTATTACACTTGCTTTTTCTTACAGACAACTTGCTTTGGCATATTCCACAAGCCATGTGGATATGGCAAGTCCTAAAAGAAGAGGATGCGGCGACGGAGATAGTGCAAAATTCGCTAAACAAGGCGGTATAACTAATGGAGCTAAATGGTATAGTTTGCAAGGTGGTATGCAGGATTTTAACTATCTATCCAGTAACGATTTTGAGCTAACTTTGGAGTTGGGTTGCGACAAATATCCTCCAGCGAGTATTTTGGAAACAGAATGGCAGAGAAACAAGAATGCTTTGATCAACTACATTTGGCAGAGTCACATTGGAATAAAAGGGATAATTTACGACGTTGATACGCATCAACCGATAAGCAATGCTGTTATTCATGTTACAAATGTAACTAATGGCCAATCGAATGAAGTCAGGCATGATATTACTTCAGGTAATGATTGCTGAAAAAAAAATTTAGTAATATCTTTTGAATTATTTTTCTTTATAGTCTATGGTGGTGATTACTACAGACTTCTTACCCCGGGCACTTATAAAGTAACCGCATACAAAATGGGATACCTTCCTCACAGTAAACTGGTGACAGTGGTCAATAATCCTTATACGCAAGCTCAAAGAGTGGATTTTCCTATTAAAGCCGTTTCGGTAAGATATTTTGTCTTTATTATCAAAGGTAGGAGACTCGCAGTACTGTTTCCATGATATGATTTGTTTTAAGAACAATTACTTATATTGGAAGAAATACTATGTTTTCTTACTTTGACATTCATTGTGGAGAAAAAACAAAATCATCTGCTAATTTGAAATATATTTTCAGCACTGGAAACTTCATCGAAAGCCTCATAAGTAGGTAAATTTGTGTGAGGGTATTGTGTGGTATTGGGTTTAACATTTGAAGACTTGTGTGATTTTTTTTAACAAATAATTTGTGTGTTCTTTCTATGAAGTATTTTCGCTATGTATGTTCTTTCAACCCAATTTCAAACACATCAGAAAGATACTTTAGTCAATTTACTAGCACTGCACTACTCAGGGATGGGATTTGAGGTCCAATTGAATTTTTAGCCAGTAACCAAAATTCTCCCTCTATCCTAAAAATGTTGTGGTGCAACAATGACAACAATGTGAATATCATCCAGCCAGAACCAGATCACTTGTTTCATTTACAAATAACATGGCGCAGTCGGTAGGATGCGAACCTAAGGACCCAAGAGAATCCTGTGCTGGGACTCTGTAACAGACAGAGATCGTTATTCCCATTGCTATGGCCCTTGCTATCTTCTTCTCACTTTTCGAAATCAATAGAGATAGAGAAAATATTTCTATTCGTTACAGAGTCCCAGCCCTTCCAACTGAGCCATGTGATTTTGTAGGTTGAGCATCTTTATAGTAACCTAATAAATTTTACATTATTGCCATTGGTATAGTGGTAAACTCCTACTATATCACCCAAGCTGTGTTGACAGGAAAAGTTATTTCACAAGAGTAGAAGATCACAAAATGTATTGCTCTGTTGTAGTCTGTCAGAAAAGTATCAATATAAACTTTGAAGAAACTAACCTCTGAGGCCAACAGCCTAAGGGAAAAAAACAAAAACTTGAAAGAAGACAATGAGGCAGCGCAAAAGATCATTAACCAGGTCAAAGAAAAATCAAGGAGATGAAATTTTAAGTTTAAAGAAAACTGTCAAGTAAATGAGACCAACAGCTTAACAAAAACGAGATTGGTGCTATCTTGAAAAAGTCAATCAATGAAATCAATGAGTCTTTCTAATAAAATGCATACCGTGGCTGAGAGTATCAAGGAATCAATTGTCGAATTGGTAAAATTGCTCAATTTGGATAACCATTGTTTCAATAATAGTGTTAATAATAAAACAACTTTGAAAGTAGGTGATACAGGCAGGACTTATGCAACGATATATAAATCTGAGCCCATACTGATCATAGGCCTAACAACAATAACCAATCCAGCAGTACCACCAGAGAAGCTATTAGGCATAAATTTGACCCAACAGAAGTAAGTGTTTTCGAAATGCGCCAAGCAACTCGAGGTAGGTATTCCCACTCTTAAGAAACCAAAGCTCAAAATATTCAATATAGATAGTTATAATGTTGACCCCAAAGATAATGAAGTAATCATTGATAAAGTAGTTAGAGATAATAGTTTAGATCAAGGTACCACTAACTCTCATATGAAAGTATTGAAAGTCTCTGCAAATAGATTCAAAAATGTAGACGTTATAATTGGGGTTGACCCTTTAAACTCACAAAGCTCTTCTAAGTCAATAGAAAATCAAAGTTGGATAGTCTGATGTATGGTTTTCAATCACGTTAATGTACTGCAGTGTTACAAGGGTCTTGGTTTTAACCATTGTAACTCAGATATGTTCAATCTGCTCAGAGCAGAAATTAGTAAATAACTATAACAAAAGGATAGATGACTCCATTGATATAATATAGCAACCAGTATTTAACAACTGTATTAAGGGCCAAATTATGGACCAACTGGTAAGTGTCTGGTTGTTACCTAGCAGGTACTTTCTATTCTCTAGTCCATAGAAAGTTCCTGCTAGGTAAGAACCAGACGTTTACCAGTCAGTCCATAATTTGGCCCTAAACCCGTAAGCAATAGAGACAATATAGCTTACAATTTAAAAATGGTGCACATAACTTGAGGTCAATAGGTAATAAGTTTCTCGACTTCAAGGATTTTCTGCTGAATGCAAAATGCAATGTACGTGTCATAAGTGAGACATGGTTGAAACCTGAAACCAAATAAGTAAATCCTTAAAGATAGACAACTACAATATGTTTATATTCGATTATATTGGACAGGCCGCAAGTGGAAAGCAAGTCATTGAAGACTCTACAAGAAAAACAAGTAACTCGGAGTCCTTGATTGATATTCTTTAAGTGATTGATGCTGCACTGACTGATCACCAAGCTATTTTTACTAAACTTTCATTACCTATTGGAATATTTGAAGACAGGAAATATTTTACAAACTAAGAAACTATGAAAACATTGATATGGATCAGTTCTCAATGGATGCAGGCTTGATGAATTGGAGTGAAGTGTATTATATTGAGAATGTTGATCAAAAATTAAATAATTTCAGTAACTGTATCATGGCACTTTTTGATTTTTATGCTCCATTAAGACCCATTCATCTGAAAAACCAACACGCGCCGTGGATGACCTACAATCTAAAACAAATGATAAAAACACCAAATAAAGTCTACAAAAATTATAGAGAATCTAAAACTGTCATAGCCAGGCAGTTGTAATTATGAACTACGTAATTATGTCAATAGGGCTGAGAAATGGGAAAAAGAAGCATATTACAGACACAGTATCAGCTACTTTGAACAACCCTACTGGATTTTGGAAAATCATTAAATCTTGAAGGCTTATTAGCAGAAGTGAAAATGTATTGTAGATGAGTTAAGCCCTGATGAGGTGAACAAATATTTCAGTGAATGTGCAAGTGATATAAATTCAGATAATGAGCTGCCCGACACGTTTTAAGCCCTCTCAGAAACCGCTCAAGTAAAATTCAGCCTAACCTGTACTAGCTTGGATGAACTACATAAAACTCTACAGTCAATCAAATCTAAAACTCTAACAGTCAATCAAATCTAAAGCAGCAAATTCAGATGTTGAAGTTGGCTTTTCCATTTTGTGGCCCGGCCCTTCTGGACATTGTCAACTCATCTCTAATTAGCAGTCACGTCCCAGGCGCATCGGAAAACTCGAAGATAATACCCCTTCAGAAAAACGAAAATATCACAGATCCATCAAACCTTCGTCCCATCAGCATTTTGCCGCCTGCTTCAAAAGTACTTGAAAAACTTGTGCATCAGCAACTTTCGTCATTTGTTGAAGAAAACAACATATTGCTTAATGAACAATCAGGATTTAGAAAATCGCACAGTACCAGCACGGCATTATTAAAGATAAATAACGACATACTGAACTCTTTAGACAGGAATCGAATAACTATCCTTATCCTTTTAGACATGTCCAAAGCATTTGATAGTATCAATCATGGCCTTCTGCCCTCGAAGATTTTGTGTTCAGGATATACCTATGGAATGGTTTAAGAATAACTTGTTCAACAGATACCAAACTGTCGAACCAAGGAGCAAAACTGGCCCAACACTGTCCCAGGAATTGGTTGTGCAGAAGGGAGTGCCACAGGGGTTAATTTTGGGTCCTTTGCTGTTTAATGTATTCCTCATAGACTTAAAACGCAGCATGAAGTATTGTAAAGTTCATTGTTACGCAGATGACATTCAGCTTATGTATGATTATAACTTTCAAGCCATTGTAGTGACGCGGAAATAAACCACCAAGAAAACAATAATTAAAGGTTCTGATTATTCTAAACAACTAAAGACCTAGGATCCAACTACCGAAAATTAATCAAGAATAACAAGGACTTACCAAACAACCATCCCAGGAGAGATCATCACTTAGACAGCACAACCAGAAACTTCAAATAAAAATTATCTGAACATCGATATCCAGAAATTATTGAAAGCCGATACCCTATATTGACTAATACATACATTGGAATGTGATTAAAGCAAAAGTTCATGGACCTTTTTTTTTCAAGTGCTTTCAACAATTAACATTCCAAAGGAGCCGAAAATTTTCTAAAAGGATGAATAAATCATGCACGAGCCTATATGATGATACCCAATTAACAAACCACTTAGCGACGCCCTTAATAATTAATTAAAAGGGGACCAAATACACTAATTAATCGGATGATTCAACCACGAAAAATCGAGGTCAGAAAAAAGAAAGAAATTCAAGACAATGGAGGGACCAATGATATAAAAAGGCAACTTTGGCAGGAGAAAATCAGTGTTCGAGAAAGAGCGAGTAAACCGGCAGAACTACGGCGTGAAGGACCAGTGTCGATTGAGTAATCAAGAAACAAGTAGTAATCGAGAATCGAGAGACCTGTGTCCAGAAAGTCAGAACTACAGCGTGAAAGAGTTGTCGAATTAACCGAGAGAAGAAGCACGACGTGAAATACCAGCGCGAAAATATTCGAGTTTTTTATTAAGTGTTCATAATTAAAGTAAATTCCTTCGACCAATAAGATTTCCATGTAATCAGGTGTGGCCAGCAGTAAATAAATTATTGTTAAATGTAAGTAGAGTTTTTTTATGTTCAGCCAGAAATTATGAAGGCAAGAGTGTGAATCGAGTTAAACTGTAAATAAAAATTTTACTTGGAATCATATAAATTTTTCTTAACAGTTAATTGATGCTTATTAAAAATCTAACAATTTTATTGTAAGATTATTTATAACCGACGCCTGTTATTTAATAACAAGCATTATTTATATTAATAAAATAAACTTTATTTTAATTGACCACAATATTTCTGTGTTTTACTCTCAACCCGCAAATAGGGCCCATTTTTAACTGTGTCTCCACTCAGAAACTAAAGTCACCGCTCGCCAATTTAACATCTTGTCAAGTTTCTGAATTTGGGGTCTCACACCATCGACAAGGCAATTAGTTCAATCAACGAAAATTTGCAAAGTTTATTCCAATGGACAAATATGAACGGTCTTAAAGTTAATGTGTCCAAAACTAATGCCATTTTGTTTGAAGGTAGAAGGAATGTGAAAGAAATCTTTGCTGGTCAGCTTACCTTGAACTGTGAAGCATTAAGATTTAATGAATATGTTAGGAACTTGGGTCTTGACATGGACAAAAAATGCTAAACAAGTGGCGTCCCTGTAGATCTTCTTTTCTTACATTAAAAAGACTTTATAATTTGGAAAACCATCTTTCCCAAAGTGCTGAGTTAAGACTGTCTTTAGTACTCTCCAAATTAGACTACTGTGACACTCTGTTTATGGTCTGTGTTTATGTGCTGAAGATGCAAGAAGGCTACAAAAAATTTAGAATTCTCGCATTACAAATCCCACGAAGAAACCATATTTCTCCATACTTGAAATTGAAAGACATTCAGTGGCTGAGCATGAATGAAAGAAGATGGGTGCATCTCTGCATTTTCATACACAAGGTGATTTTGGCTAAACAACCCAGATATTTGTATGAAAAGTTGGAATTCCGAAATATGGCCCATGTGAGGGAACTTAGACATGCACCAGCCTGTTTAACAATCCCCTTCTCTAGTTCCGAGCTTTTGAAAAACAGTTTTTCCTACAAAGCAGTAAACATTTACAATAAGTTACCAGCGAATATCAAGGCTTTAAGTTTACCAGTTTTTAGGAACCTTATAGTAACCAAAACTCTTAATGGTGATTTTGCTGTACTTTAAGATTGTGATATCTGTTATAACTTTTTTTTTTCTTCTTTGTCTCTCATTACTACCATATTTGCTTCCAAGTTTTTAGTGATGTATATTTTTGTATATTTAAATACTTTCAAATTGACATTGTGGTCAACCAATTTCTTAGAAATTGTAAAAACCCCCATTTTTTGTACACCCTGTATTTGCAAAATAAACGATTTATTATTATTATTATTATTATTATTATTACTAAATTCTCCTCCCCGTTCTGCTACCCTAAGGCAAATCCGGGGGCAAATCTTGAAGATGCCAACGAATTTATTATTTAAATTAACTGGGTCATAAGTAAAAAATTCTTTATGATTTATCTAATACAACCAGATGGATCAACTTTAATATATCTTCCATTTCTAGGACTCTGCCTTTATCGATCCTGACAATTACATCAGCCCGAAGATCGATGATCAATACGCCAGAAGGAACCAAGACTGGGCAGCATGGGTTGAAGAAACAGAACCGATTTTAGAACCAATAGCTATTGCTTAAAACAGCTGGAAGTAGCTCAAATTTCCAGAAATATTAACCAGAAGTAAACAAACTATTTCAAATTAGATTTTCCTCTAATGAATTTATTTTATTTATGAAAATAGTTACTATTACAGGGAGACAAAACTACTTGATTACTTTATTCATTATCTTACCTATGATTGATACAAAGATATTTGATACTAAATCCCACTAGACAGAAAAAACAGGAAGCATTTTAATTCCTTCAAATTATAGGTTTGTAGGTATAGCAACTTTGACTGAAATTAATGTAATTCTTGAAAACTAATTGAGTGTATATTTAGTCAAAATAGATTATGCATTTGTCTCGCAGTTTCTGTAGTATATTTATTGATACACTAAAATCAAGTATTATCATCTAATGTTATGTGCAAAATAGCTTTTGAATATATTTCGAAAAATCTTTTGGAAGAGAGTATTCACCAGAGTAAGGTTTAAAAAAAAAAACGCACAAAAAAGGGTCCTTCCTAATGTTATCAGTAAAAATATATGAAAAAATAAATTTTGTTGATGTAGTTGTTAGTAAAATTTTATTTTTATTTGATTATTACTTGAAGAAAAAGACAATGTTGTAATCATATCTGAATAAACACAATAAACATTGTATTGTATTTCATTAGAGTAAAATGCAACCTATAGGTACATTTAGAGGGTAATGTACAGTCTGACACACGAATGAACCTTGGCAACATGTGAAGTAGTAGAGGGAAAAACATGTATCAATCTCCTAGTCTCACTAGGCGTGCCCACATTCTTTCCACACAGGTTCGTTCAGTTGTCGCACTGTATGTATATATATTTGAAGGGAAATTTTATTTTCAATATGTAAACAGACAAAGTTTATAGAAAAAGCAAAATTAGATAAAAGATCTGGATTCATGGGGTAAGTATCTGAAAATTTAAAATTAAATGCTTCAATGTCAGTCATGTTTCCTCTTTTCCGAATAGTATTTAGAGGATGAGCTTTTGCTGCTGCTTTTGCTTTTTTTATCATCAGATCTGCAATAATTATTTTGTTTGCTTGAATGTACCAATCATTAAAAGAAAATAGGATGCAAGAAACTTACCTTGGAGAAGATTTTGAACTGCTTGAAGATGATTTACTGCTTGATTTATATTTATCACTGAAATGATTACTTAGATTAGACAATATAGTAATCCAATTTTTAGTTACCTTGAAGATTTGTGAGAAGAGCTGCTTCCATGTCTATGGCTGTCTGATTTGGAACTTTTCGATGATGATCCATGATCTTTTTCAGAAGATTTAATTTTTTTTGTGCTACATAAGGAAAAAATCATTATAAAGTCTTAAAACAATAACATCTTACCTTATGCTTCTACAATTTGAACAAGTCCAAGTATCCATAACATCTTCATCACCTACTGAAGGATTGTGACATTCTTGATGGTAAAGACCATGACAATCACTACATTCCAGCAACCTATTTCTGGCTCCTACATCCATCTTATTACAAATGACACAGCTCAAATCATCTTTCAAGAGATCTAGCTCTAAATCATTGTCCGAATTATTTCCTGAAATATTATACTCATAATTTTTCAACTCTTTAAATAATTGGCCCAATTACCTTTGTCATCATAAATATTAGCATTTTCATTTTCCCTAGGAGGCAATTGGCTCTGGAAAAAGTCAGTGTAGTCTTTGACAACTCCAGTTTTCTGGAAAATAGCTTCCTCTAAAATGTATTGCAAGGGTACAGGATCGCCTTTTCTTAGTTTCCTGCTTTCGTACATCAGGCCGATGCATTTGATTAAATGTGGATCCAAGTCGGTGTTGGTTGACATAATGTTCGAGAACTACTGAAATAAAAATAATGTTATTTTTTTGGATGCTGATTCTTTTTTTTTCATTTGTAAAATTATCTTGAAACTAGATCATGTATTCCAACTACAACTAATTAACGATAAGATAATAACAGAGCCCCGACTCAGAAATTATTCCTGAAAACAGCTATTTTTAAACAGATCTGTGGACTCATCAGAGATATTTCCTGTCTCAGAAAGGACAGTGAGACCAGTAGGAGCAGAAAGATATGGCAAGAATGGATGAGAGATCTTTGAACTTATGTAGGAAAGAAATCAACCCAAAGACAAAAATAACAAAAACTACCTACAAGAAATTCTATAACAAGTCTTAGAAACAATCAATGAGGCTTAAAGGGCTACAGGAAAAATATGGTAAAATACCAGAATAATTTTATTCGTTTTGTTATTCTTATTCATTAGAGCATGATGAATTGATTCCTATTGAGTGCCAAGGAACATATTATAAACTGTGATATTATTGACTATTGAGCATATCATTGTACTTTGTTCTCAACTTTGTTGGTGGTAATCGCATATTTTTTAATCTCAGTAATCTTAGCTATAGCTGCACACTGCACATTCATTTCTCTAGCTTGGTTAACTTGCTCATGGGAAGAGCATAGGAATTGGGAGTACCCACTTTTGGTTAACACCTAAGGTTGATACGGTCTGTAGCTTTTTGCTGATGATTCCTGAGACTGTGCTGTGTCTCAAGGTCTCAAGTTTGGTTCTCGAATCAATCGAAAGCAGGATTTTGACATATTTTATATAAACTCACCTAAAAACCTATTTAAAAAGAAGCAAACGACACGACAGGCAACAGTGTTTCTGGGATGTGAAAACTATAAATAAGTATAAATTATAATTGCATTTTATTTGGTGCTAATTTTACAAATTAATTAGTTCCAGTTCAAAGTCAATTGTTTGTTTGGTTTTAAATATTTGATTTTGACAAATGACAGTCTCAGTAGATGACACAGAACAGAATAGTTGTATTCCTTTCACACCTAGGAGGAGCTCCGGAACAGCTCCGGGGCTTCACGCGCTTATTCCTTTCGAAAAGTGTTTGTTGCACCACGCATCTGTTCCCTGCAAATCGGGGGCTACTAAACACCGGAGCGAGTAGCTCGAGTGTTTCAAACTCTTGAAAGGAATACAACTAATACACCACGGTTCTACAGATTAATTTGGAAACTTTGACGAGTGTCGCACTGAATGATCTCAAACGGTGCCAGAGAGTGCTGTAGAAACAGTTCGAACAGTTCTGTGCTCACTCCATATAACACAAACACTTTCTACTTTCTACTCGGTTCTGCTCTCTAAAATCGTATTTTAGCGAATTCCAAGAATCGTAAACTAGCAGGATTGCTCGTACGTTCTCTAATTCTCGAGTCGACAGGGCCTGCGAGCGACGTCACCACTATTGACAGCATAGCAGCTTATAGTGGTGACGTCACCCGCAGGCCTCGATGGGATGCTTGCGATTCAGGTTGTGCTTGTTTTTTCGTCGATTTTAACTGTAGAAAAGGTGATAATAACAAGATTATAACGTTTAAGAATTCGTTTTTTTGACCTATACCTGTGCCTGAACCTCGCGGATGGTTCCAGGTAGAAAATAAGGGTGCATTATACGAATTTTTCAATATCATTCCTACACCAATAATCCCTGAAAATTTGGACAGCCTAGAATTAGCCCTTCAGATGATATGCAAGGGGGTTGTTTAAATTTAAACACCCTGTATATCTTAAACGGGTAACTGTTTTTAAATGAAACATTTACCAAAAAATCGGTTAATTATTTATGAGTATTTGCTGTATGGTTTGTAGTGGATTCGCTTTACTGTTCAGTAAAAAAATAATAATTTCCAAAACATCTTTTTTCAAGGTCATTCAACTTTGGAGCGCCACCCCGGATAAAGGGTAGGTGATAGACATATGCTGTCACTGGATAAATTGTACAGAATTTAGTCCTCTTCAATTTACTATTGAAGGACTTTTTTGTAAAACGAAGCGGATGCGCTACGTTTCGGAAAAACCACAAAAAACGACCTTTAGGGGGATGTTCCAGGGTGAAATTTTGTTGGAAAAAGTTAGACCCATAATAAGCAGCCCTTGTTCTACCAGAAAAAAAAATAAAACAGAACTTGTGTCGAGTTTGCGAGGTCCAACCTCTCTTTCCTGGCCTATAATGCATTTTGCGCCAGGAATTGGGGTCTGCGGCTGAAATGGCAGACACTTTTAGCAGCTCAATAAGCAGTTCTATAAGGTTAAGTAATCTTGAGCGAATTCCCTTGATACAAAAATGTGGCAGTGTGCCAAGGATACACTACTACTAGAGAATATAGCCTATCCTCATAAGGCTTGTGTAGTTCAAATCTGAAACCCACCATGCCAAAACAACAGTGATGTCGTAGGCAGTGTGTCGTTACTCGTCTTGGAGTAGGGTGTTTGCACCACTGAATATGATTCCGCGGGCTTTTGCTTTATGCATACTTGGTATTACTACATTAATTAACATTCTAAAACAACTTTTTTTTTAGATCTCGTTTGCATCTTTGCTTATTATTATGTCAAAAATCAAAATTAAATAATATCTTTACATTTAAAATCAACGAAAAAACAAGCACAACCTGAATCACAAGCATCCCATCGAGGCCTGCGGGTGACGTCACCACTATAATCTGCATGCTGTAGTAGTGACGTCACAGGATAAGCAATCCTGTAGTAGTAGTGTGTATTATCCTTGCGCCTTATGAGGATGAGCAATCCTGTTTTTAGTTTACGATTCTCGGAACAAACCCGAATAAAATTATTTTGTGTAGAAAACTGTAACGTGAATCCTTGACTGAAACAAATCAATGACGTCAAAAGACAAAAACGTTCGTCGGAATCGTCTTAAACCAGAACTAGTCCAGGGGCCTTATTCTGTAAGGAACGAACCGTTCGATTCGGTAGAATTTCTTCGATTGTGACGTCATTTTTGGTTTGGTAGCGTGAAAACCAAACCGAAAATGACGTCACAATCGAAGAAATTCTACCGAATCGAACGGTTCGTTCCTTACAGAATAAGGCCCCTGGGCCCGGGTTCCGACCCACGATTCGATATTAGTATCGTCTAAAAAAAAATATCTATTTTATATATACGATACTATCGAATCGTGGGTTCGGAATCCAGGCCCAGAAGTCATTAGCCAGTCTCGAGTCAGCAGAGGCTGATAGTGGTGACGTTACCCGCACACCTCGATGGATTGCTTGCGATTCAGGCTGTGCTTTTGAGTTAAGCTTACTTTCCATGCATCCGTTTTTCCGTCTATCCGATGACTCAGAAGTATTACTATTGGTCCAATATTTTGGCGCCAAAATATTAGACTAGGGCTTCGCAAGACCAAGACCAAGACTGACCAGTCTTGGTCTTGGTCTCGAAAAATAAATGCGGTCTTGGTCTTGATGTTTCAAGACCAAGACAAGACTGGCGCAGTCTTGGTCTTGATAGTCTTGAAAAAAATGTATACCTACCAAATTTTCAAAATATACATAACATATAACGACAGACCAGAGATAATGGATTTTAGGACTTCAGAATTAAAAAAATTATGCCGACGTTTCGACCATGCATTTGGTCTTCTTCCAGGCTATTTTTACACCATAAAATTGCCATTCTGTACCGAGGAATTTTTTTTTTTTTTATTTGAACCATAAGAATAAACCTACCTTACCTACCTGAGCATTCAGGCCAGACAAAGGTTTTCAAGAACCCTCTCGCGTGAATTTGAAAAAATAATAAATTAGATGAATTGATTTAATTAAAAGACCTTAAAAGAAGATTATAGGAATTTGCGTATTCTCATAAATATTGAGTCGCGACTTTTCTTTTCAAGACCAAGACCAAGACGAGAGTCTCGAGATAGAGGCTTGGTCTTGGTCTTGGTCTTGGTCTTGCGAATATTTATTCGGTCTCGGTCTTGGTCTTGGTCTTGGACTTGCTACCAAGACCAAGACAAGACCAAGACTAGTCTTGTGGTCTCGCGAAGCCCTATATTAGACCAATAGGAATACTTCCGGATCATCAGATTGACGGAAAAACGGATGTATGAAAAGTAAGCTAGGATAATCCATTTTACGCCTAGGGTTGAGGTCTGCGGCTGACGTTACAAATAGTGGGCAGTTGTTGCGTGAACATGGCAGACACTTCCAGCTCAATAAGTAGTCCTATTTGGCATGTGTTTTTCTTGGCAGAAACCAAATTAACGTTTTGCGGCAAGATTTTGTTAATATATATTTGAGGTGTTTTCTCGGGTCTAAAATGTTTTGAAACATTTTTCAAAACTGGTTTAAACCAGTGTCACATAACATCACTTCTCGGCGCGAGAAAATGGTTTGAAAACTTGAATTGGATTGTATTTCGAAACGATTTGAACCAATTTTGATATGACGTCATGGGTTCATCACGAGAATATCCTGTTTCGAACCTGTTTCAAAAAAGAGAAACGCGAGAAAACATCTTTGAGCCGTTTTCTCGTGTTCACTTTTTCGTTATTGGTTCAAAACATGTTTGAAACGGGTAATGGTGTTTCCATAGTTTCCATTGATTGTTTCAAACCGGTTTTCACCAATGTCAAAAAAGTGAATGCGAGAAAATGTCATTCATGTCCACGCATGTTGTGCGAAATTGACCTTTTGTTTGGACGCCATATTGCGGTGCGCGAACATAGTTGCCAAAAGTAGAAAAAAAAATCACTAGTGTACTGTCAAGATTAAAAACAAAAGTTCCTGAATAAATTACATTTAAAATTTGAATTTGCCGCCTATTACGAATGTTTTTGAAAAGAAAAGCCATCAATTTTAGCTTGTATTGGGCAGAATAGAAATAATAGAATATCTACCTATTTACTTTCATCAGTCAGAGAGAGAAAGTAAACAAACAACAAGGATAGCGAGGATCAATCATTTAGTTACTTTTGTTTTTAATGTTGACAGCC